AGAAGATGACAGCTGATTCTTGTTCGATTGCAGCCGGTTGGCTCCAATACGACGTTCCGGCTAACACACTATACTGGATTATCCCTCGGTTCGGATTAAAATCGGCTAAGCTTTGGTCTGTTATATGACGAATAACATCAGCCGGGACTTATTCCAGCAAAAGTCTTAATAAATAAAGAAACTACCAGTTTTCGCCTGAAACAAGGGAGGATGTCACTTAGACTGCGTCAAACGAATCGCAATTTTAAAGCCAAACGGCTGGGGTACAACGGCAATCAGCCGTCATCTTTTGGTGAGATCAACCTACACATTTTTTCATCACTTATATGCTAAATGAAAGTCTCCACAACAAACTCATTATACTTCCTAAGTATATATTTATGTATGAGGCACCTGAAATGCCAAAACAACCTCGATCTTTTCGGTAGACAATTACTGGGTATCTAGAGTGTTCTTAGATTGGACGAGCTAGTAAACAAATGTAAAAAATCCTCCATTTTAGTTATAGTAGGTAAATTGCAGCCATCAGAGCCGATATATACCAATTTAGAACGGTTCTTTTGGACTGATGGTAATTCTGCCTTAGATTAATTGAGTAAAATACTTGATTTTGCACAGAATTCAAGTCTTTCTTACATATATATCTTTCGATAAGGTGTTGATAACAGAAGATTTTAGGCTATATTAATAACGTGGCTGATGAAGTGTATAACCGATCAATCAAGAGCATATAATGTACTGTACTCTGTCATTGCTCTTTGTTCTTTCAGCCTCAAATAATGTATCCAGTCTTGGTCTTCAGCCTACTATTGCTAAACTTATATTTGATCGCACGATATCAGAAACTAATTCATTTTTATTTATCTTCATCTTATTTAATCTTCCTCAGACTTTCCTGTCGATCTAAGCCTTCTCCAAGTTTGTATCGCCCTCCTATCCCCCACATCATCGAGTATCTCTGTTGGGCTTTCTTCCCGACCCAGCTGCACAATTGCCGAAAATTCAAGTAACGTTTGGGCTACTAGACTAAAGGCTTCTGGTCAAGAACTAACTGATGGACAGAAGAAAATAGAGGAAAATGAAAGAGACACACATAACGCTACATCGGCCAGTTTAGCATCTACTGTAGCTTCCCTCCTTTCTAGATTGCCCAGCTTTGCTGAGTCATTTTTTACCGCATCCAATTTGGCTTTCCAACTGCAGCAACAAGTAAATACTTACCAACAGCAGCCTCGTCATATCCTCGATAGTAATAGTTCAGGACGGCGCCAATCATCTGCGAGCTTCGTTGATGGTCAGGAAGTCGAGCTAACTGCTGGCCGACGTCTGATGAGTATCGACCAGCAGCAAACTGATGCTTTTTCCCCAAACGTCGTCCAGGGCATCCATCTTCTCCCGGGAACTCGAGGCATCATCCGATTGGGTCTGTTTCCAATATGCACATCTTATCCATGGCACACTTTATATCCACTGGCTACATTATGCACACCAATTTAATGTAAAAATTCTTGTTTTTTTTGTCGTAGTGTCTCTCAAACACTCATCATTTTTGCTATTTACCTAGTGGTCATGCATCCTAGAAAGGCATCTTAAAGCATTTTCGCAGTGAGTGGCTAAATTCCTTGTAGTTTCTTGTTTCTTTAGCAGTTGCACAGAGCAGCCTTTTATTTGTATTATATATTAGATGTACTAGGTACCTGAATCTAGCCTTTATTCTAAACGTAGGTCCAGCTCCAACATAAAGAGATGTGGGTGGGTCAAAAGAAAGAATCTGACGAAGATGTGATTCTTTGTATCCTTTGGAAATTTAGTGTATTTTACACTATAATTAGTGAAGATATTGCTTTCAATATGAGGATATTTAGGCACGATTAGTCCTCCGTGCATGTTTATGAAATAAGCGTCCAATTGTAATATTTTTTCTTTGTTTATACTTCCAGCAGATTTTTCGTATCATAAGTTTTACTCCTGATGCCTATTGACAAATTGTCATCGGTATTATTATTTACCTATGAACGTACTAATTAATTATTCAATTACGGGTTATTTAATTTAATTCTAGCTTTGGAAACTGGGGTAGCGTTTTTCGGTTATTTTATCTAAGGTATATTTCTAGATTCTTGAGTCGGGGCATTTTTAGGTAAAACAACAAAATACAGGGAGACCTAATTCATTTCGTGGCTTTTTTGTTTTTATTATCACCCATTTTATTATTATGCAACTCACATTTATCCAGTCAAATGAAGAGGATATAGACTAATTAATCTGCGCCTAACTGTGATCTCAGCTGCCTGAGTCACCTTGGAAGTAAGTTTGCCACATCTGTTCATAAGTATTCTACGTTTTCGTTGTTTGCATAAATTATGAAAACCAAGGACATGCTAACATGTTATACCATTAAGAAATGTAAAATTAACAGGTATTCAGATTAATTGCCATCAACCCATGACTTGCGGAGCAATCGACTTGCTGCG